ATATTTTTTTAAAATAAAATTTTATAAATATATATATTAATATATATATATATATATATATATATATATATATTTATATATATATGTCTTTACTTTTAAAAATCTTATAATAATAAATGATTCTTTGTTAGCTTGAATATTCATTTATTAAATTTTCACTAAAATTTCTGAATTAATAATAGAAGTATAATTTGAAAAAGAAAAAGGAATCAAAAAATTAATATCTATTTCTTCTAATTCTATAAATTTAATTAATTTAAGAATCTATTGATTTTATACTAAAACAATAGAGCTTTTACTTTATATAGAAATCTCTAATTTTTCTTATTTATTAATAAAAGAACTAATTAAATTATCTCTAAAGCATAATTTCAATAACTTATTCATTGTAAAAAGCTTAAAAAGCTTATCAATTTACTATTCTTCTTCCTTAAATTATTAAATGACCTTTTCATCGTTATTTAAGATGCAATATATATTTAGTTTTTCTATTTAAAATTCGAATATTTTGAACAAAATCATCCACATGAAATTAAAAATTACTCCTTTTGTCTAAGAATGATATTGTTTTTCTCTTTTGTCCAAATTTTATTAGTCATTTATAAATTACCCTAATAACTAAATAAGATTATAATAAATTTAGCTTTTTTCTAATTTAGTATTGTTTTTAAAGCAATCAATTTATGAGTATTAATTTTTCTGAAAAAAGAAAAAAAATGATATATTATATATTATATATATGATATTTTTACTTTTAAACCTAAAAAAATCTTTAAAGTTTTTATTTAAATAATAATTTTTCTTCTCGATACAAATAAAATTTTAAAAGTAGGAATATATATTGCAATAGTTTAGAATAATTCATGCTTCATAAAGTTAAAAATGCTTAAAATTTCTGTAAAATGTGAATATTTTACAGTATTAAAATGAAAATAATGGGTATATTTATTAATATAAAAGCGGATTAAAGCAGGTATAAAAGCCAGAAATACAAAAAATAGAAGAATAAAGAAAAAAAATACATTTTTTTATTTTTTATAAAAAAATTAATTATTAATAATATATATATATATATAAATATATATATTATATATATATATATATATTAATTTAAATATATATTTTATATATATAATATATTTATTAATTTTTTTTTATGAAATTTTATAATATGTATATTTATTTATTTAATTTTTTTATATATAATATATATATTTTGATCAAATAAGCAATATTTTTATTTATTCTATAATAATTATAAAAATAACATAAAATATTAGCTTTTTTATACTAATTTAATTTTTTTAAAAATCTTCATTTTATTTTATAATGCTTATAAAAAACAAAAAAACAAAAATATATAAATTTTTCGAATTTATAATAAAAAGTATAACTGTATATGATAGTAAACCATTTATTTTAATAAAAAATATTTAAATTTTAATTTTTAAAATCCTTTATTAATAAAATAATGGTTAAATATATATATTTTTTGAATATATTAGTAATTAAATTGCTTATTAATATCATTTTTTTAGATAACTTTATAAAATATTGGTAAATAATGAGTTAATTCGGATATTATTATTATATTGTCTATAAAAATAGTGAAATTTTTATTTAATTTTATAATTGACTTATAAAAAAAATACAAAAAAAAAAAAAAAAAAATGTTTTCTAAAAAATCTTCAAAAAAAAATTAATAAATTCTAAAAATAAAAAAAAGTTATTCAAAATAAAATTGGATATTTTTTTTTTAAAAAGATTAAATATTTTCTATTAATTAGTATATTTTTGTTAGTTTTTTTAAAAAGAATTCAAAAATTTATAATTAAATAAAAAACAAGTATAAAGGTCTTTTTTTGATAAAAAACATAATATATTTAATCATAACTAAATAAAATAATTATTTTGAATATTTAATATATTATTTTCAAAAAAAAATATATAATAAATATAATAATAAAACTAAAATATATATTAATATATATAAAATAATATAAATATTTATTATATTATATAATATTGATAATATTAAAATAAAATAATTATAATATTTATTATATATTTTAGAATATACTACCATAAACCTTAATACTATAAAAAAATATATTCAATTAATTACTTATTTAATTTTTTTAATATAAATATATACATATTAATGTCTTTTTTTATATATAACTTTCTTAGAATAATATTTTTTTGAAATTATAGTAAATTTTTGTAGTAATCTATATATTCTAGATTATAAAAATTATATAATAAATATAGTAAATGTATATATTTAGCTGCAAAAGGAAAACATTTTATATAATAAATATATAATCTATAGGTATAAATTAGGAAAATTACTAATAAGGTTTAAACCGTAAATATAATAAAATAAGTTAATTTAAACTATTAATGATACATATTTTGAATTTCTAATAGGCGGAAAGGCTAATATTTTAATTTATCTTTATAAGTACTTTAAACATTATTATTTTTTATATATTTCAAAAATTACTTAATATATTATAAATGAAATAATATAATAATATTCAAAAAATTTATACATATTCATTATACCATTAAATATTAAAAAAAAATTGTTAAAAAGAAAAAAACCAAACAAACTTACAAATTATTAAAAAAATAATAAAAATAAATTCTATTTTTTAAAAACTAATAAAATATTAAGTAACAAATATGAAAGTAGAGATAGAAATAATTCTATTAAAAAAATATTTTAAATTATAAAAATATAATATATCAAAATAACAATGATATATATATACAATTAAATAAACATATATAGTTTAAAAAAAAAAAATTAAAAATATAAACAAAAAAAATTAGTATATATAATATATATTAAAAATTAAATATATGTATAAAATTATATATATATTTTATAAAAAAATATATATATAATTATATATTTATATTTATATATTTATATATTTATATATTTATATATTTTTATTTATATATAATTTTTTATTTTAATTTAAATTATTTTCTCCTATTTTTAAAAATTATAAAATAAAAATTATGTATTTTTTATTAGTATTATTTCCTATAAAAACATGAACAAGAATTAATTATTATTTATACATTAAATTTATATTTTATTTTATAAATAATAATTTTATAAATAATATATATATATATATATAAATATTTATTTTTATTTTTATTACTTTATTTTTTATTAATTTTCTTTTTTTATTTAAAATAAATTATTTACTTTATATTTAATATCATTTTTTTATTTATTTATTTTTTTATTCATTTTTTTTAAATAATTTAATTTTTTTAAAAAAAAATTTTATTCTTACTCTTTTCTTATATGTTTTTAAACATTTTTATTCAATTTTAATTAAACATATAATTTTGATATACAATAAAAAAATGTATTTATGACATTAATTTTTAAAAAATGATTTATGTCTATTTAAAATGTTGCTAAAATTAATATTATAAATTTAATTCATTAATAGATTTCTATTAATAACAAATATGTATATCGAATATATATTGATTTATCTTATATATATTTTTTTTTATTAAATACTATTTTTATATTATATAAAATTTAAATTTGATGATATAATTAATATTTTAAAAAAATTTAATGTTTTTATATATATATATATATATATATATATATATATATATATATATATATATTTATAATAAAAGTTATATTAATTGAATCGCTCATAATAAACTTACACAATTTAACTTATCTTTCCTTAGCTTTTTATAGTTAAATAATAGAGTCGAGTTGTAATAAATTTTAGCTTTATTATAATTAATGTTAAACTAATACAAAATAATTAATCTTAAAATTAAAGAATTACATTATTAAAATACAGTTTTAAAAGAAATATATATATATATAAAATATAAATATTATGATAAAATAAAAAATAATGAAAATTATAATATAAATTATAATTATAAAAAAATATTAAATTGGATTAATAAAGTAAAAATATTATAACTTTATATAATTAAAATTAGGATAAAGAAAATTGTTGGATTAAATAAAAATGTTGGTTTATAGATAAAGAGAATAATAATTTATATTTTTAAAAAGATTTTTAAAATAAATGAAATTATAATTAAGAAAAGTTATTTATAATAATTTATTTAAATAAAAATCTTTTAATAAATAAAAAATAGGGTAGTATAAATAATAGATATTAATATTAATATATATATATATGTATTTATATATAAATAAATATATTTTTATTAATTAATTATAAATATATATTTTAATCTATTTATATATTTTTTTTTTTAATCCTAATTAATTTATATTTTTTTTATTTATTATAAATATTATTCTTTTTATTTTTTTATACTTTCTCTTTTTTTTTTTTAACTATCTAAATTTATATATAAATAATAAACATAAAAATATTAATATCATTTATTTTTATCATATAAAAGTATAATTTTTTTTTTTTTTTTTTTTTGAATATTCTATTTAATTAATATTTCCATTTATTTAAAATATAATATGAATGAAAACTTTAAAATTTTACAATAAACGCTTATAAATCTTGATTTCCGAAAAGACCTATAAAAAATCGAAAAATCTTTAAAAGAAATAACCAATCTTTCTCAAAAAAAACCAAAATAACCCTCGAAATCGCTTCATCTATAAAATGTACTATTTGTTTTCTTAATATAGATTTAAATATTTACTAAAAATCCCAAATAATTGCAAAACTAGACTGCGATTGTCCTACTTATTACCATAAAAATTGTCTAAAAAATATAATAAAATAAATAATCCACAAAGAAAATATAATTGATGAATAAAAAATACATGATAATTTAAATAAAAGACTAAAATGTGAATAAAACTGTTAAAAACCAAAAATTTCCTTATAAAAACTCGCCCAAAAAATAGCCAAAGAAAACCTTTCCCAAAAACAAAAAGACCATAAAATCCTCTAATAAAAGCTATAAGAAGAAAACCTAAAATACACTTAAAATTTCGAATGTCAAATATGTTTAGAGTAATATACTTTTAACACAAAAACGGTTAAAATTCCACTTAAATAGGCTATAAACTCCTCTGTGGCTGCACTTTCTGCCTCGAATGTCTTACAGGCTACTTCGAATAGAAAATAAGCCAAGAACTAGATGTTATTATTGAAAATATAGTCTGTCCAAATGCTGATTGTCCCAAAAAATCATTAAATTTTATCGATATAGAAAATATTTTGACTATAATAGGTAAATAAGAATTATTAGATAAACTAAGTAATAAAGATATTTTATAAAAATACCAAAAAAAAGTAATAAAATCAAGAAACTTTTGAACAATTATCTCCTGTCCTGGCTTTTTCATATAATAAAAGGACTAAAATAAAAAATTCCTTACGTAAAAATAAATAGAAAATCTAAGATAAAATAAACCTAATATAGACCTAATAATAAATGAACAAAATGAAAAATTTGTAAATTGTTCTAATACATTTATCCATACTAGAGATAACCCGAATTAATATCGATATAGATTTAAAGACTGCCAGTATTTTTTCTGTTTAAATTATTGTGATACTACGCACGAAGGATATACTTGTTAATAATACTAGTAATGGAAAATAGATTAAAATAAAGACTATACAGAAGAATTGTCCAAATAAGGATTCAAAATATGTCCAAATTCTAAAGTTTTAACTTAAAAAATAGATGGATGTAATAAAATTATATGTAATAATTGTAGAAAAAAATATTGTTGGCTTTGCTTTTTTTAATCAGATTATAGTAATGAAGTCTATAATCATTTGAATTAAAAACATTAAGGTTATTATTGAGAATAAGAATAAATATAAAAAAATATAAATATTATATAATAAAAAAATATGTAAATATAAATAATATTTTTTATAATATTTTATAATTAATTTATACTAAAAAAAAAAAATATATTTTTAATAAAATATAATTAAAAAATAAATTTAAAAACAATCATATAAAATATGTATAAAAAATAAATAAATTAAATATATATATATTTATATTTATATATATATTATATATATATATATATATATATAAATTATACTTATATATAAAAAACATGATAAATCTATTTTTTTTTATTTTTATATATATAAATCAATTTATAAACTCAAATTTAATACATGACATTGATCCTTTTCACATTTATTATTTTTAATAAAATCCTATCAAAATATAATATGATTTTCTTTAAAAATAAAAGTAGAACTATCCAAACGAAGATTTCCATATTGTTGAAAAGCCCTCAATAATCAAATCTCATAAAAACTCAATTCAAATATTAAACATGATTGAACTCGATGATTATTTTTATTTCTTAAAAATACTTTAAAATTTCCAAGAAAACTATTCTAAATATTCTCTTACACTTAATTATTTCACTCTCGAATAAATAACGTTAAACCCTTCCCAAAAATCCTTTGGAAAATAAGAAAAATCTATATAAACCCATAAACTAAACCAAAACTACATCCTATTAACCTAAACTAACAAATAAAATACCAAAAAGTACCATATAGATAACTTAAAACTTCATTTTTTTACATTATACTCATAAATAAAAACCCGAAAATTCCCTTTAACATCCCTATAAGCTGAAATACTGAATTCAAATAAAGTTATACTTTAAAAAATCAATAATAATTTATTAAAAATTAACAATAAATTTTGCCTTATAAATTCTTTCCTATATATAGCTTCATTTTCCCCTTTTATATCCTATTCCCATAGAGGTTATATTTAATGTTCTGAAAACTTATTTATTACCTAAAAGTAAACTTTTTAATTTTTGTTAATTTTTAAAAAATAAAATAAAATATATATAAGTGCTGATTTTTATAGTTATGATTAATTTATTCATACTATTTCTTAATAATAAATTGATAAATTTTCGTATCATACAGTTTATAGATTAAAAAGTATACATTCGTATATAAGTCATGCTTTTAAAGAAAAACAAAATATGTTTTAGAATAAAGACTATGATTTTTAAGATTATTAAGGACATATCTTTTCTATTTTAAAAGTAATTTTTATTGTAGATAGAAATTCTATGATAAAAATTGTAGATATTAAAAATTTAAAGTAGATTTTAGAAGAAAATATACCAAAAAATGATGAGATAATAAATTAAATTATTAATTTTGGAGTAAATTTTATTAAAAAAGGAGAATTTTTAAATAAATATCTTGAATTATAACAAGTATATAATGAAAAAACAGGTTTTACATTATTAACAATAAATTAAAATATATTTGAAACTATATATGAAAAAATAAAATATATATTAGATATAATATTAAAGTTTTTTATGGATAAAATAATATGAAAAAAAAAAAAATATAATTTTATAATAAAAAAATTTAATATTAAAAAATAAAATAAAAAAAAAATTAATTAATAAAATAAAATTATAATATATATATATAAAATAATATTTTATAAAATATAAAATATATATATATATATATATATATTATATATATATATATATATATATATAATTCATTATCTTTATATTTCTTTAATTTAAACAACATTGCAGTTTTTACTAAAAACTACTATTTTCCCTTCAAAAATATAACCTTTTAAATATCCTAAAAAGAACAATTTTCCCAATACACAAGCTGTTTCCTCTCTTGTAAAATCTTTTTTACCTGAAAAAATAAAGCCTTTTTAAAATACTTCCAAAGGTATTTTATTTCCATATTTTTCTTTACATATTAAAATGATTTTTTTTACTAAATTTCTCATTGTAAAAAGCTTTAATTAATCAATCATTAAATAAATACTTCTTTAAATCCACAATTTTTTCCATTTATCCCTTTAACATTCTAATTTATAAATATCCCCTTATAATATTGCTTCACTTAATTCCAAATACTCAAATATTTAATACTCTTAAATTAATTATTTACTCGGGAATTTTCCACATATAATATTCACTGGAATTAAATACTTCAATATCTCCCTTTTTTATTTAAAAAAAGGACAAAAATTAAACGCAAAACAAAGCGCCTCTCTACTTTTTTCATATTTTTCTTAAAAAATACACAATCTTCCGAAAAAATACATAAATTTTATTTGTTCCCCTTTTGGTTAAGTACTTAATAATTATTAACTATTTGAGTCTTAATAATCTTTTGTCATATTAAGTTAGGAAATACAATTTCTATAATTAAATTTATAAAAATTAAATTCTAATTATATATTAAATGTTTATAATAAAATCCTCTTTTTAAATTCTAATCCTTCCTATTTAGAAGATCTATTAATTAAAGATGAATATTAATTAAATTAATCATCTATTAATTTATATAATTTTTCATCTTATTTACCCTAATTATATATAAATGTTAAAATTGTTATTTATGGTTTACTTTTCTTTTATTTTCTTTTATTATTTTCTTTATTTCTGTTTTAAAAATTAAAAATACACCAGATGTTAATTTTAATAAAGTCTCATGCTCTTTTTACATTTTCTCAAATAAATTTCTAAAAATGTTTGACGTTTATATAAATTATTAATAATCTTCGATATTTTGGAACCATTATATTATATTATTTATAAAGTCAATAAAACAATCAATTAGTTAATTTTATGTTTTTAAACTATTCAAATATTGTTCAATTGATTTACAATAAACATATTTCTTATTTATTTTTTAATTAATAATTATATTTATTTTTATATTATTATAATACTTTTATTTATAATTCTTTTATATTTTTTAAAATATTCTCATTATCTAATTATTAAAAATCTTATATTAATTTGTCAATTATAATTTATAAATTATTATTCATTTTTATTTCTTTTATATGTATTTTCTTTATTATTATAATCGAATTAAATTTATATTATTTATTATTTTATATAATATAAATATTATTAATAATTTCTTTAAAATATTTATAAAATCAACTGTTATTCAATTTTTATGATTAATATTAATAAAGATATATATATATATATATATATATATATATATACAAATAATTATTATCTATAAACTTATATTTTAATTATGAAAATCGTATTTCTATTATATTTTATTAATTATTTATAAAAATCTATAGTTTTATAATAGAAAAATTTAAGATAATAATAATAATTAATTAATATTAAAAATATTAAAATATTAAGAAAAAAAATATTATATTATTGAATAAATTTTTTTTTAAATAAATTATTTTTAACTTAAAAATTTTTTATTATTGAAGTTATTTAAAATTAATATAGGATTTTATAAATAATAAATATAATGATTATAATTTCAAATCAATTAAATAAAATTAATAATATTCATTTTAATTAATTATTACAAATAATTTTGATTTAATAATAATAGTTTTTTGTTAATAATATAACTATATATGATTTTTATTGAATTTATAATTTTAAATTTAATAAGTTTAAATAAAAAATCTAGAAAAAGATAAAAAAAAAATATTTATTAATATTATTTAATATATAAAAAAAATTCTATATTATATGTAGAATTCAATAAAAATTATTAGTAATGTTTCCAAATAAATAAAAATAATTAATATTTTATATATAAATATAAAAAGCTTATGATTACTATTTTCTTTTGTAATATTTTTAAAATATATATGATTAAATTATATTTCATTTAAGCATTAAATAAAAAAAATATTTATATATATACAAAATAAAAAAATAAAAAAATATGATATATTAAAAAGATATAAAAAAAATAAAAATAATAGATATAAAAAAATAAAATAATAATAATAATAATAATAATAATAATAATAATGATTATTATTATAATTTTTTTTAGATAATAATCATAATAAAATAATTATAATAAAAAAACATTTTTATCAAAAATTTTAAAATATAAAAAATATAATTAAAATCATAAAAATTAATAATATTACTAATTTATATTTTTAGTTTGTATAATAATAATTTATTTATTTTTATATTTTTTTATATTTATTTAACGATTTATTTAATTATTCATTTATTAATATATATTTATATATTAATAATTTTAATTATATTTTAAAAAAATTATATATATTAATTTTATATAAAAATTTAAAATTTTATAATCTTTAATTGATAAATTCTTTCAAATCTTTAGTTTATTATTATCTTTAAAATATTCTATGATAAATTTATTAAAAATATAGAAATATAATAAGTTAATAATAAAAAATAATTATAATTATAATTTAATATCTATTCTTATTCTGTGATAATTTTTATTATTATATAATTATATAGAGATATAGAAAACATAAATAAATATATAATATAATA